AAACGGTGAATCGCACAACCGTTCTGAAGCTCTACACCGTTTTAAAGCAACTTCTGCAACCGAATGATTGGCAAAAGACACACTGAACATCTGCAAATGGGATAAAGTGCTAGTTCAAATCACATACACAGTGGAAACACTTCTCGTCAAGTGGTCCAGATCATTTTAATTGGGGTGAGCAGCGGCCACACATGCTGACCATCTATCGCTCAGAGTCATCAGGGCATGGGCCGAACAAACCTCCTGTTTCCTATTCTGTTCCCCGCATTTGTTTCCCGAAGGAAAAGTTACTCCAGTGCAAGCGCTGTGTGGGGACCTGTGGCTAGAACATGGATAGGTTTTCAGTGGACATTTGCTCTTGTACACAGATCCAGAGCCAGCTTCTGTTACACCAGTGCTTTTTGCGGTGTGTGTGTGTGTGTGTGTAAAATGAGACAAAATGAACACCAATTGAGGCTTTATTTCAAAATCAAAAAAAAAGAAAAAAGACTTACAGGAGTATGAAGAACGTCTCTAGGTTACATATGTAACCATGGTTCCCCGAGGGAACGAGACGCTGCGTTGCGATCGCTTTGAGAACGCCCCTGCGTGACCGCGTTCTGAAGCACGTGTAAAATCAGTCCAATGGAGCAGCGAGATGTCACGAGCGGGGTGACGTGAGCACCAGGAAGTATAAAAGCACATCCGGCTGAGCACAAGTTAGCGTCGATGAAGTAGCGCCTGGAGGGATGCAGGGAGTATGGCAAAGAGACGTAGCGTCTCGTTCCCTCTGGGAACCATGGCTACATACATATGGCAGGTTCCCCTTCAGGAACTCGAGCTGCGTCGAGAAACGCAGTTTTCTAGTGGGTGGAGCTCTGGACTGGAGTATAGTCTCAACAACCTCAGTTGAGAGGCCAGATGCTAGGAGCTGTGCCCCCTCAGGGGCCATGCCCACAGCTTCCATAACTCCGGGCGGGGGTGAAGAATGGCACCCTCCGCCTGAGAGAGGAGGTCCCTCCTGATCGGAATCTCCAGCAGAGAGCCGTCGAGGAGGGACACCAAGTCTGAGAACCATACTCGGGCCGGCCAGAATGGGACTACTAGCAACAGACGGACCCCATCCCGGCGTACCATCTCCAGAACTCCCAGGAGCAGAGCGATCGGGGGAAAAGTGTACAGTGGAGCTGGATGCGTGAGGGAGAACCAGAGCGGACAGTGTGTCGTTTCCTGCGACGCAAATAGATCCACTTCCGCCTGGCCAAATTCCCTCCAAATGAGCTCCACCACCTTGGGGTGGAGCCTCCATCCCCCTGATTTAGATACCCAGGGATATAAACTGCTTTTAGAGAGAGGAGTTTCCCCTGAGCCCAAGAAAGAAGGATCTGGCGTGCCAGCTTGTACAAGGGGTGCGAACACAGACCCCCCTGCCGATTGATGTAGGAGACCACCGATGTGTTGTCTGTGCGGACAAGCACATGATGCCCCCTTAGGTCTGGAAGGAAGTGTGTCAGAGCTCGAAACACGGCCAGCATTTCCAGGCAGTTGATGTGCCAAAAGAGATGATGGCCTTCCCACAGACCCTGGGCAGAGCGGCCACTCATGACCGCTCCCCAGCCCATGAGAGAGGCATCCATCGTTAGCGTTACACGACGACAAGGAGCCCCTAACATCGGGCCTTGAACCAGGAACCAACGTTTCTTCCACATGTCTAAGGCACGTAAGCATCGCCGCGTGACCTTGATCATGCGAAGCGGATTCCCCCCCTGGGGAAATTCCTTGGTTCTGAGCCAACACTGTAAGGGTCTCATGTACAGCAGGCCAAAAAGGTATCACGTTGGAGGCCGCTGCCATCAGGCCCAACAGCCTCTGAAACTGTTTGACAGTGAGTGACTGGCCTTCTCGTACTCTCGTGACTGTCGTGAGGATTGACTCGATTCGAGCAGGAGACAGACACCACGTGAGTCCCACACCTTTTCTCCCACGATCTTGACACCTCAACATGGAGATCGGGGAAAAACGGAAGGCCCCCGTCGTGAAGGCTGTGATCTGGATTCAGAAAACGCTTGTCTAATTATTTTTAGGATGAGCGTCCTGTTTCTAGGCTGGCCAAACTATATTTTATTTTGATAAAATATTGATGCAACTGCACAAAACACACCCCATAATCACGAATCACACCTCATACGCGAGGGACGGTGGTGGCGAGTCCACAGTCTCCTCTGTCTCGACACTCATCACATCCA